GCTTTGGGGAATGGCTTATTGCCAGCCTGCTCTCAGTCTTTGTTGCCTTTCCTGTGTTTATTTACTGAGAGTTCTGTGCTGAGTTCAGCTCCTTGCTCCGCCCCCTTTCTCTAGTTGCAGGTCAGTGTTCCCCCTGTCCCCTCCACTGTCCTTGTTTGATTATAGTTCACTGTTTGTTTTTCAGTTTTGTTGAGGGGGAATCAGTCTGCCCAGGGGCTGCGCTGGTTTATGTTTGTGGGGTGGGTAGGGGATTCCCATATGGTGCGTGGTGCTCACCTGTTTGTTCTGTCAATTGATGGACAGGCAGGTTTGGAGCTGGAGGTAGTAGTGAGAAATAGCGCCAAATTTTCTCAATGTAGTATGGCATGGGGAGGTTTTCCATGAGCTAGGCATTCAGAACATCGAAAGTTTGATTCTGGTTGATGCTTTATTTCTGCTTCATGGAGGAAGAAGAAAAGGAAAGGAAAAAAAATCACCATGGGGAGGATGGTTTCTCTGGGGCTGGACCCACCTTGCTGGCTGTGTCATGTGATGCAGCTGTTAGGTGCAATTAAAGGCTGATTTGAGGGTCAGTCTTTTAATTTTTTCCTGCACCTAATGTGATGGCAGTTATTATTTTGGCTAGAAGCAGTCAGAATTACCCCATGTGGCTCAACGTCTGAGGGAGGTTTTTGGAGTCACAGAGCTTAGGGTATTTCTGCTTCAATACCCTAGTTGCCATCTTGGATTCCCTGCCTTTCACTTTCTACCACCACAAAAGTGATAAACGTCATTGTTTATGATCTGCTATATAAGAATTTCTTTGAGCTATGCACCTAAAAGTGAGACTTCTTGATTTCAGTATTAAAGTACTACGAGATTGCTGTCCATGTTGACTGTAACAGTTGCAGAAAACATTACAGACAGTATGATTGACTAGTGAGAATAAGACTCAAACCCAGGTGGTTGGAGGAAAGGAAGGTTTATTTCACTAGCGGGCCAGCACCTGGATATCTCCAAAATGGCACAGGCCCCAAGCTCAGGACGGCTGAGGTTTTTATACTAAGAAAAGCAGCAGCAAGCAAGCAGGGAGTACAGAAGCAGACTATATATCATGTCAGCACAGCTGTGGACAAAGGCCATCTGCAGTTTCTGGTGGGATCGCTGGATGCAGGGGCTCTGGCTAGGGGAAGGGCTTTACTCGTCTTTGATCCTTTCTCCCTGCTTTGATATTTCTTTGGGTTTCCTTATCATAACAACACTCTCTACTTGATAGATTTTTAATTCCTAGTCTATATCCTACTTATCTTTTTGTAGTTTGGGGTACACAACTGAATTTCATTAACTAATTAGAATTTTTACAATTTTTTCATAAGGGACATGGTCTTGTAATTTTTTCATATTGTTATTTCACTTTGAAATAACTTTACAGTCTTAAAAATGTGTTGAGATGCTCTATTCTTTTTCTGACTCCTGAATTAACTAGTATACAATATAGGAATTTACTCTTCCAGAAAATCTACTGGAATTCACCTGTCAAACTGTCTGGACTTTACAACTATAAATTTTTCTATTTGTGTTATGATTATTGTTTTGTTGAATCTTCTTTTCCTTTTGTACATATTTTGGCATTTTCTATTTTTCTAAAAATGTTTCCATTTCATCAAGAGTTTCCAAGTTATTTGAGAGTGGTTGTTTATAATACTCAGGCTATATTTTTGTCAGTCACCCCTGAGGTCTATCTTATTAATGTTTTAAAGAATTTAATTTTTATTTTATTAATTTTTGTTAACTATATGTATTCTGTCTTACTGATTTCATCTTTACCTTCTTTCCCTTTATTACACTTTTCTTCCTGTTAACTTTGGGCTTACTAGTTTGCTCTTTTTTTCTGACTTCTTGGGTTGAATGCTTAGCTTTTTGCTTCCCATTGTTGTCCCTATATTGTTATAATTTAAGCTTTAAATTTCCCATGAAGTACTGCTTTAGCTCTGGCTCATGAATTTTGGAATTATTGTCATTATCTTTCAGTACTGTATATTTTTTAATTTCCATTAGGATTTCCTAATTAGCCCAGGTTATTTAATCATATACTTAGTTTTCAAATTTATGGATTTGGATTTGGACTTTTATAAAACACTTGGAAATATTATCTATATAACATTAATCTTCAGGATTCTGAAGCTTCTAAGGCAGCCTGATATATGGTCTGTTTCTTAAATTTTCATGTTTCAGTATATTCATATATGGAGTTCTATATATCTCTACTAGTTTAAGCTTATCATTTGTATAGACATCATTACTACTTCTGGTTATCTTTTATGTATACTTCATTCCTGAGAGTAATTTGTCCAAACTCCTTCTTTTTAAATTATTTTTTGTCTACTTCTCCCAGTAGTTTACTAGTTTTTGATTTTCATCATTAGCTTTATTTATGTTTATAAAGGATAGATCTTTTTGTTATTCCTTTTACCAATATTTGACACTCCTTTTTTGTCTTTGTCATGAATATTACAAGTGTTACTCTATCTTTCTTTTGATAGCATTGTTTAATTGGCAAACTCTGTGTTCCTTTAGTTGTATTTGTCTCTTATATACATTACATTATTGTTAGAGTTTGTCTTTCTGTCAGTCTAAAAATATTTTTCTTTTGCTTTGTAGTTGTGATATCTATCCTATAGTGATCTTGAATTCAGACAAACACACACACAATGGGCTTTACCCTACACAGAATTTACTTTAACTTTAAGAAAGGATAGGATGAGAAACAACACAGTAGGCATAGTAACTCTTTTACAGAGATCCTGGGTAGTTGGAAGAGGAGAAGATGAATGACATGCTCAAAGGAAGCTGCTCAACCCATCCTGTTTTCAAGTCCTCACCAGGACTGATTTTTTTTTAGCCAGAATACCTAGGTACAGCCATCCTAGTTGTCAAGTATTTCGTTAGCTCAACAGGACTTTTAAACAGCACTATGTATGCCTCAGATTAAACTTTCTGAGTATTGCTGATTTCTGGACAAAGAACCAAGCAATGATTGTCCCTTCATGAAATTTAAAAGGTTTTTTTAACCTGACTTTTCATTACTACCTTCATCCACAATTTTTTTCTTTGACCCTCATTTCTCTACTTCTATGGACTTTCTCCATAGAAGAAATGGTTGGGAGAGGGAATCAATAACAGGGAGAATATGAAACATTTCTTTCACATAGTAAGTGACTATATGGTTGACTAACAACTAAGAGTTAAGCCATTGTATTGCTTTTTTGACCTTTTGACTCAGATCAAGTGTAGTATCTATTCTTAGTAGTTTATTATATGATATGTCCTCTATCTGAGGACAGCATATTGAGTGGATTTTTGGAGCAGGAAAATGGAATAGGAGCTTGCTCTGCCCACTCCACACATCAGCCTGGTATTACAGTACCTCCAGGAACGGCCTCACCCCTAAAAAAAAAAAAGGAAAAAAAATAAAGTTTAAGTGATTATGTTCTTTTGGTTGGTTGACAGATTAACTGTTTTTTCTTTTAAATTACTTTCTGACAAGAAGTGGACCTTCACCAAAAGACTTTTTTTTTTTTTTTTAAACTGAGGGCCTCATGTTTGCTAGGCAGGCACTCTACCTTCCCCGTTAGCATGACCTGTTTTTCATATTATTGCTATATTTGCATTAAGTTTTTCGTCCACATATGCATCTTTTGGTCTTCTGAATCTGGCTAACTTCACTTAGGATGATGTTCTCTAGCTCCATCCACTATACCTGCAAACGACAAAATTTCATTCTTTGTGGCTGAATATATTTCCGTTGTATATATATGCCACATTTTCTTAATCCACTCATCAGTAGTGGGGCATCTTGGCTGTTTCCATAGCTTAGCTATTGTGAATAGTGCTGCAGTAAACATGACTGTGCAGGTGCTTTTATTGTAACCTGACTTAACATTCCTTCGAGTGTATCCTAAGGAGTGGAATTGCTGTATCATATGGCAGTTCTATTTTTAGTTTTTTGACTAGCCTCCCTACTGTTTTCCATAGTGGTTGTACTAATTTACATTCCCACCAGCAGTATGCGGGTTCCTTTTCCCCCACATTCTCACCAACACTTGTTATAGTTTGTGTTCTTGATGGTAGACATTCTTACAGGAGTGAGATAGAATCTTAACATGGTTTTGATTTGCATTTCCTTTATGGCCTTTCTTCATGTGTTTTTTGGCCATTTGGATGAAGTGTCACTCTTTAGAAACTGTGACTGCAGATAATAATTTTGGGATTATCTGCAATGTTTTCTCAGTTATTGGGTAGTTTATACAAAGCATTAGATGAAAAAAGAGCATTTTTTAAAACTTGATAAGTAGATCTTTCTAAATTGTATAGATTAATCACTTTTTACCTTTTTCTTGCTCTGTGCTTGTGTTAAAAACTGAAATTTTTGTGTAAAAAAAATTTCAAATTAATAAGTACAGTTGTCAGAAAAGAGAATGTCATGGGAAATTGAAATAATAGTTGAAATCACGTATTTGAGAGTCAGAGACAGACTTGGATTTAAATCCTAACTGTGCTACATAACAGCTACACTAGGTTGAACAAATTAACCTTCTTTTATAGTTTTAATTACCCATCTAATGTAGGAATAACAATAGTGTTCATACCTTCCTTAGGGACTAATAATGTGTAAAGTGTGTAGTAGTGACCCGGTATATAGTAATCACCACATAAATGTTAATTACCACTTATCCATTAGTGCTGTTATTCTATGACTTTAAAAATAATAAACATGTTCTGGTTTTCTCTAGAATGAAAAAAGTCCCAAGTTTCAGCTCAGATGAAAAATATTTCTTAGGCATATAGACTATAGGAAATTATTCTAAAAACTCTTAATAATTAAAACAGTTTAATGAGTAATAAACAGATGATTATCATGTAATTTTAATAGGTACTCCTTATGTAGATACTTATAGAATTTTGAGGATTCCCCAGAAAACTGGATATTTTAAATCACAGAAGTAATATTTTTTCATCAGATACTGCTTTCTCAAAAAATAAAGATGATGGAAAATGGTACTATTTTGATGACAGTAGTGTCTCCACTGCATCTGAAGATCAAATTGTGGTAAGTGTGTCTTATACTTCTTAAAAATTGTTTTAGGACATGAATATAAAGTTAACAAAAGGGAGGGGATGTGGGGTGTAACACAGCAGTAAAGCAAGTGCAGGGCCCTAGGTTCAATCCCCAGAACCAGAAAAAAAAATTAATGAGGGGTCTTTGGAAAACTATAGTCTATATTTTAGCAATTATACTAGCTAAGCGACAATTGCTCTGACTTAAAGAAATCCCGAATTGTCCCTCAAGTGGAAATTTGTCTTCAGAATTTGCCCACTAACAAAATTGCATTGTGAAATGTTTTCTGGCAGTTTTTCATAAAAAACAAGTTTCTAATGAGAATTAGTTTTCTAGAGGAAAACTTTTAACTTTGAACTCTTTAACTTTCTAGACATTGACTACTTAAAGTAAGAATGTTGAAATGGGGGAAATCTTCTAAGTACCTTACCATACCTATGATCCTAAAGTGTTAAGACCATTAAGCATTTAATTTAAACTTAAAATGACATAAATAGATAAAAAGAATGTATAGATTTTTTTAAATATTAAAATTTGTATACTTTAGGATTTTCTGGAAATGAGGATATTCTGTCTACTCACACTGGTATTTGTTTATCATCCCCATATTCTGCTTTACACCAAATCAAACATTTATTTTCAGATATTGACTAATGGAAGGTGACTGTAATGTACCCTAGGAAGAAAGCTAAAAGTTACTTGTTAAGAGTTTATTAGTAAATTTCTGAGCCTAATTATTTGCATAGCTTTAATTTCTTTGCTTAAATAGGTCTGAAATAATCTTGAATTGTTTCTTATTCTCCTTTTCTCCACCCCTCCCTGCAGTGTGTTTGCGTGTGTGTGTGTGTGTTTGTGTAGTTATACATCCCTTAACAACAGGGGTAAATTCTGAGAAATGAATCACTACATTGTTTTGTCATTGTGTTAATAATACCAATGTACTCGCCCAAACCTAGATGGTACAGCCTACTACACACCTATCCCATGTTAGAATCTTGTGGGATGACCACTGTATATGCCATTCATCATTGACCAAAATGTCATTATGTGGCACATGAGTACACACAACACACACACATGCATATAATATACACATATTCTGTTGCTTACTTCCCATATCTGTAACAAAAGATACTTAAACCCTATACTATATACCTAACATTTCCAATTTATATTTAACCTCATTTCTTTTGTCTCTCATTTTTAAATTCTGTTCTCTTTACCAGTTCAAACATCCTAAATTACCCTTCTTCCTTCAAAGTCTCTTAAACAACACTGCCCTAATCCTGCCTTCAAGTAATAATTTGTCTTGTTTATGGACAATATATAAATTTGATATTGCTGTGCATTTTAACAGTGGTTCTTCATTTAGCCAAGGTATTTGAGTTTTGAGTACCATATATAGGTGTATGTGTATTTTATATATAAGGTTAAAAAACAGCTGTCTCCACTAAGAAGCTTATTATCTAAAGAAGATTGGCAAATTAATAATTATAATATGTTAACTATCTTACTATAGCCGTGTAGAAAATGACTGCTGTACGCATTCAGATTTCTGGTTTGAGGAAGCAGTCATTGTAGGAAAGTCCTTGTAGTGAAGGTGGTATTTGACCTGAGTCTACTAGTACAAATAAGAGTAAGTTAAATAAAAGAACAGTGTCTACAAAAGCAAGGAGGCATGACATTTTAAGGGAACAGGAAATAATTTGATAAGACTAAAAGGAAAGCTTGTGTTAGGGATGTGAGGAGATAACTTTGGCACTCAAATAAAATTGACATCCTAAGTTCTAGATGTTTTTGTAAAGACTATGGGAGATCCTTAGATGATTATTAAATAGTACAATAAAATTATTAATTTTCTCTGTCTTTGAGAACACTAAAAAGAAAAAAGATAGATTTGAAGACACTGAGTAAAAAAGCAGAAAGCCATTCAGGAGGCTGTTACAGTAATTTAAATATTTAAATAGTAGTAGTAACAGTATAGACAAGGGAAGAATGAAGTTATAGAATATTTACTAAATAGAATTAGTAAAACTTGACTGAAGTTAAAATTAGATATAAATAAAGATATAGATGTAGAGATACAGAGTTTACCAAGATTGGGAGTATTAAGAAGAAAATTTGCTGTTGAAGTTTGAGGTAACTATGTGAGAGCTATGTTGTCGAAATTTCCATTAGGTAATATGACTAATAAGACTGGAACTCAGAGGTGAGAAATGCTTTACATTGCAAATCTGAGTTGGCATAGATAGCAGTTAAAGCCATAGGTTTGAATGAATCACCTAATGAGAGACAAACTGAAAAAGAGTGGTAGGCTGAAAGCAGAATATTATGTTTTTAAAGGTCAGGACTTAGGCCACAGAATCTGAGAAGGACCTGAAGAAATTGTAGAAGTCTAAGGAGAAGTGGTTTCACAGAAGCCAAAAATTGCTTGATAACAGAAGAAAGTCAGCCATTTAGGTTGTTTACTAGGAGGTTGTTAATCCTAGTGAAACTCACTTCATTAGCACTGTTTGAGCAAAAAATGTACCATTAAATTGAGGAGTGTGCATGAGAGTGAGTGATGGGTATAGAATATTCTGTCAGCCTGGTGGTAAAGAACACAGAGTTGCATGATGACAGTTTGAAGAAAAAGTAGAATGAGAGGGATTTATGATGGAAAAAGACTTGAGTATGTTTTAATGCAAAGAAAAATCTAGGAGATAAGAATTCATTAAAGATAGGCAGTGATGATTAATGGGAAATATTCTTAATTAAGGGGAAAAATATTCTTAATACTGTAGGAAAAGTTGGACTCTAGAGCAAATGTGTTGAAATGACTAATATTAGGTAGAAGGAGGCTCACCTTTTCCTAAGAGTAAAAGGAATAAAAGCATAGAATTATATTTCATGTTAGAGTAAGTAGGCTAAGTAGAGCATCTGCACAGCAAGCATGTCAGCCCTGAGTTCAAACTCCAAGCCCCAGAAATAGGTAGGTAGGTAGGTAGGTAGGTAGGTAGGTAGATAGATAGATAGATAGATAGATAGATAGATAGATAGATAGATGAAATGTTAATCTTTGTTTTACTTGTGTTTATTTCTTGGTCCAAGTAATATAGAAGAGAATAAAAAGTACTTAATTCCAGAAACCATTGTTCCTTTACATTAGAAATCCCTTTATACTTAATTTTAGTAGCTTCTATTTGACCATGTGTGGTTTCCTATTTGATTTATTCCTTGTAACCAAAATTGGTAACAAAATTCATATTTTAAGGTGTGATCTTTCAGAATTATGACCATTAACATCCTTTGTTTGTTTTGGCAGTCCAAAGCAGCATATGTACTCTTCTACCAGAGGCAAGACACTTTCAGTGGAACTGGCTTTTTTCCTCTTGACCGAGAAACTAAAGGTGCTTCAGCTGCCACAGGCATCCCCTTAGAAAGTGATGAAGATAGCAATGATAATGACAATGATATAGAAAATGAAAACTGTATGCACACTAATTAATGAAAGTCCTAGAAGCCATAAAAGAGACTTTCCTGCTGGTGGTATCTGTGGAAAGGAAGTTACCCACCACATTAAAACACAAGTCTGAGATGGGGAGTTTCAGATAACCGAATGTAAATCCTTTATCAGATTTTAACTTGTGCAGTACTTGAAGTGAAACACAATGAAAACTTTAACAGAAATTGTCTCTTAATACATTTGCAGTCTTGTATTTACAAGCTAAATATATATAGGAAATCACAAATAAATCCCTTTTAAGTTTGCTGCTGTTTTGATGAATTATGTTTTCTTTAGTTTTTTGGATGTGAGTTAATTGATTACAAATGTTAAATTTGTGGATGTTGGTCATTCATTTTGCTCTAATAATACTGCAAGAAAACTATTGCTGAACTTAGTTTTTGGATAATCTAGTTCATGTGCATTAGGCTGCCATATATACTACTATAATACTTAGCTGCAGTATCAATGTGGCATAAATACTGCAGTATTATCCTTGGGAAATCAAATTTCCAAATGTATCGCTGGTAATCAATATGGGCCTATTAAAAAAAATCATGATCTGAGAAACAATCTTGAAAAAGTAATTTCATTTTGTAGTATCATTAAAAATCCAGAATATTACATTCATCTTAACTGCCATTATGGAAACAGGTTCTAGATTTTACATACCATCCAAAGTCATTTTTTCAGTTACATGTAAGTACTTTTTACTGATACTGGAATGTATTCTTTAGACAGTCAAAAATTTCTACTTGCTTTAAAATGCATATCTTTAATCTGGTGTTGGTCCAAAAATAAAATTTTTTCTGTCTATTCTCTTCCCCATTTTTTTGGTAATTTGGCAACTTTTAGGTCTCCCGGTTATTGTAATATAAGGACAGACTTAATAGTATTCTGTATCCATAGTAATAAATGCATCAAGCTTAGGTGAGAGATTTTTTTTCATATACTAGCCTTTAAATCATTAATGGAAAACTGGCTATAAAGGTAGGTCTGTTAACTTTCTTTGTGTGTTCCTGATGGAATTCACCATAGCCTTACAGCTTTTCTCAGAAGGTAACTTGTTATAAGACAAATGGCATTTGCATGTTCCAGAGTCAGAACCTGTACAGTATATAAAGCTTACAAACCTTGAATTTGATTTTAGTTCACCACATTCAAGGATCCAGGATGCCAAATACATGTGTGGACATTCGAAACATTTTCATTTGCTGCTTTCTTTCCCTTTGATCTAGTTGAAAGAATGTATTGTCGATTGGCATACAATACTGCCTTTAATAGAAGACTAAATGCTGGGGCACATTTCACCTATCTACTACCTGAGAAATTGCTTTGTGTCCCACTGTTATTAAAGCAAAAGTATAATGTTCTTCACTTGAACTAATCAAATACAATAGATTATAAATTGTGTATTGTAAATAAAAGTTCACTCTGTGAGTGCACATTTTGGTAAGTTATTTATTTATGTTAGCATTTAAAAGTAAAAAAAAAAAAATGCATTTGACCAGGATAAATGAGGTATGTTAATCATGGCTTTGCTTTATACCTTGATACTGAAGCTGGTTTTTCATCCTGGTATTTTAAAAGCTGCTTTGGGTTTTTCCTTTTTTTCTTTCCTTTTTTTTTTTTAAATGTAAACTAACCTCCTGCATGACAGAGGTTAAAATTTTGTCTGCACTTGGGTTCACTTGAGTTTACATTTGAAATGTGCATGTTTATTTATACAGAGTTCAATAAAGCTATTCAAGGCCTTACTTAGTCTTTTATTTCTTACTCTGAATCTGCTGATAACAGTTCCCTATTTCATGGATAGATGATTATACTACTGGAAAGAGCAAAGTAAATCCTACTTTTAGGGATATTTTAAAGCTGATTTTTTTAAATTAAATATGAAACAAATATTTGTGTACCCACAAATCACTGTTTTACATTCTGGAGATAAACAGCAATAAACAAATATCTCTACCCTCACAGAACTTACATTCTTTCTGCCATTTACCAAGTAATGGACTTTATTTCCTATATTCCCATTTTTTAAAGGTAAAAAGAAAAGTCCAAGTTAACTTTTTCTAGACCTAGATTTTAGTCTCCACCCCAATTCTCCTGGAGACCTCTTCTTTTTTTCTTTTCTTTCTTTTTTTAAAAGGCAGGAACTTACTATATAGTGCAGTCTGGCCTTGAACTTCCAATCTTTTGGCTTAGCCTCCCAAGTGCAGGTAATACAGGTGTGACCCACCATGCCTGGCTGAAGTCACTTGCTTTTAAATGCCTGCCATTGAATTATAAAATTCAAATTATCATTCTTGGTTGCAAAAGATAAACTTTAATAATGCAAAGGGATAATACATGCTCCAATTTAAAAGTATACATTCATAGGGAATACAGAGCAATAGAAATGTATTAGAATTCTATTTCGAACCTTGCCCCTTAGTAATCATTATAACTTTGAACAACTTAATCTTTCCTACTCTTGTTTCTTCACCTGTAAAATAATGATAGCTGGTGTGCTTTGAGCACTTATTATGGACCAGGCACTATATTAAAGTGTGTATATGCATTATCTCATTCAGTCCCACAACAGCTATGTGGTAGGGACAGTCATCCTCACTTCGCATATGGAGGAACCAAGATGCAAAGCATTTACATAATCTTCCCATGTTCACACAATTACTATGTGTTAAGAGCTACTCCTCTATCCTCAGATATATACTTACTCTTATTATGTTATAGTGTCTGCCTCAGAAGATCGTTAAGGGCTCAAATGGCATCATGTCTTTTATGGGAAACTCATTACTGATTTCTTTGATCTAAATGGAAAGTCACCTTGAAGTATAATGACTTTGCTTCCAAAAGTATCTTCATCTCCATCTTTAAGTACTGAATGTTGATTAACCTTTCCATTTAAAAATTAATTTCAACTTGTGTATATTTTAATTAAATGGTAAATACAATGTGGCTACCCCACCCCCACCTCCATTCATCTAACTTAAACAATGCCCTTCTTTCCATTTCCCCCACTGCAGCCCTGAATTTTAGGTCTTTTTTTTTTTTCCTCACCTATAATTGATTTTAATCAATCTCCATGAAATATTTAAATATCTTGCTTTTGCTTATAATGTGTTCTTTTAGTAGTATTGTATTTATCCTTGCTTTCCTGACACCTGGATATAAAACCACACAAATCATTGATTTTCCACACAAAGAAAATCTGTAAGTACCAAAATAGATACACTGGGAGGACAGTGCATTTTTATGAACTCATTTCAGTGAGGTAGGGATATCTTATAAGGAATAAGCCAAGAAAATACAAGAAAATGAGGGAAGTATCCTTCAGTGGCATACCAAAGGGGGAGGGGAAGAAGAAAAGGAGCTTTCTACCTGAGAGGAGAAACACGTTATCACAGACATTGTTTAACACTCGCAAGTGGTGGTAAGATAAAACAGTTTTATCTGTTTTAATTGGTTTTTAATTGGTTTTAGTCTTTTTCACTTCTCTGACAGTGCATTTCATTGCTGCCTGCTTCCAACTCTCCCTGTTTAATATGTTCGATTCTCTGCTTGGTGCAGCAGCACATTCTCACCAGTTTAGTTTTTAAGGTGGCAGTAGATCATATGCTAGGGGAAGGAACCAGAGGGCCTCTAAAAATCTCAAAAGAGCGATAGGAAAGGAAAATAAATCTCATTTCTGCAATCAAAGAATAAAAGGAGAAATCTTCATATTTTTTACTTTATACAATGAGTTTTTTTCTTTGAATGATTTAACCTGAGAAATTTTGAAACAGCTTCTCTTGAAAATATATTGACACTTCCAAATAATTTTTTCCAGCCCCACTTGACAGAGGATAGATAAAAAAGAGGGGAAAGGTGAGTATATTTATACCCTTGCTAATTTATATCCTGACTAATGCAGTTGTAGATGTATGCTATATATTGTTTTATTATCAGATTTTTCTAGTGAGACTATGTGTAACAATTTTTCTTATATGCTTTCTAGGTCAGGGATATTTCAATTCAGTATGTATGTGCTTTATAGGTGTAAGTCATGTTCACTATATATGAAGCAAGAGAATTGCTAAATAGTTCAGATAACATTTTCATTTAAAACTTCAAATTTTTATAAACTATAGGTTTCAAAATATCAGAATTGGGAAGATAAAGTGTGAATGGTAAAAATTCAAATGTTGATCATGCGTTATTTTCACTAATGAAGGCGTAAAAAGTTTTTAAATGGACAGTATAAAATAGGGTGTTCAAAAATTGTTTTTGGCAAACATATGCATTAACAGACAGGGAAAAAACAAGTGTCTTTTTTTCTAGAAATGTATAGCAAATTAATTCTACAAAGCTACTAAAAATACAGCTCTTTGGAAATTGTTCTTTTAAGTAGAAATGCTGTAAAAATCATATATTTAAGTGTTTAAATTGTTTTGGTAGTTGACTATGTTCTGCTGTGGAAAATCATGCTTAAATTTGGTGCTTATTTTGCTACAAAACTTTTTCCCACATATGAGAAGCATATATGGCTTGGTCTATATAATTTGGTAAGAAAAAAGTTCTATTTGCTGTGACCTTCATTCAATTTCATTGCTAGCTGGAGTTAAATTCACATTGATTAAAATAAAATATAAATCTGAAAACAACCCAACACTATACCATAATGTGTATTCTTACATTGTTTTCAGTAATGAGACCTTCTTCCTCTTTTCATTGATTCTTAGGTATGCTATATTTTAAGTAGCTTAGACTCGTGTATTACTGTGTTCTGTTGATGTCTACCATTGTATGTGTACTTGTTCTTTTCTGACATCAACTTACCCTGTAAGTAGTGAGAGCATTTAATTTTCTTTATACTAAGAATCATCTTTCTGTTATAATATCAAGTATATAATTTTTAATTTAACTAAATTAGAGTTTATCAAAATTAATCATGTCCATGCCCATTTCCATTTAATTCCTCCCAAGAAGCCCAAGACCTCCAGGTTGATATTCACTGCTAAAGATTATCTTTTTCTAATTGCATTGTAGTGAATTACCAAGGACATGAAAAATTACATAAGATAAAGCAAATGTAAATTGTATTAGAGTTGCTGTCATTGAGTGACTTTGGTAAAACTATTCAGTAGTCATCTCGAGTCATGTTTAAATTGTATATCCATGAATTGAAGTAATACTGTAAATTCAAACCATAATCATCATTAACCATGAGTATTTGGGTAGTGTATTATCTATGCTGAAATGTGGCATGAAACATTGCATATTTAGAACCATTTCACCACTGCCAGCTCCAAATAAATCCTTAACCTCTGAATTACAGGTTTTGCAGCCATTAATGGATTCCAGTCCCCTCCCTATGAATATTAATGTGGAAGTGTAAACTATTGTAGACACAAGTATTAGGAGCATAATTTTATAACTTACACATTTAGAACCTTTTCTCTGCCTTAGGCAGACATGAGTTATGCTGTATCCCTCCTCCCCCCCAATGTGGTTAATCACAAGTTTTTTGAGTTAAGAATAAGAATCCAAATACTAGGGATTATGGTTTTTATTGTCTTTGGATACTGTCAACTCTGTTCAGTCTAAGTGAGCAGTATGATTGAAAGGGAATAATGAGACTATTAAAGCTTCATATTTACCTAAGAAGCACATGATCTTTCACAGGAGGTACATACAGTTCACTTGTGGAGGACTACTAATTATTTATGAGGAAACCAAGCTCTCCATGCACCTAAGCCATCCTGTCTTGGCACTGTCGCTAAATACTAACTCCCTTTCAGAATGATTGCAAGGTTTAACTTGTATTGACCATTATGAAGAATGATGGAGGTAATATTGCTAATAAAGATATACCCAACTCGGGAAATGATTGTTCTTTTCTTTACAAATGAGCAATTTTCCTGATCAATCATCATTCACACTCAGATTCCAATAAGTCTTTAGTAGGGCAGCAAACACAAAGAGTAATAATTAGTCCATAGAGAGCACCTATTAAATTGGTGCTTGAGGGAAAAGCTAAGAATTGGCCCTAATCCAATTCCTCACCTTCCCTCAAATATGATATAATTTGACAATCTTGTGCCTTCCCATATTATATTTGCATGCAAATACATTCTTTATCCCCTACCTGACAAACTTTTTCCTTAAAACCTATCCCAAAATAACACTTATTTGATCTCTCACATCAACTGCCATATTGGGCAGTAAGTTATGGGTTCCTCTTCCCTCACTAGACTGATTATTACCTTATGGAAGGTAGTGTGGACCATAGTGTTCCTAAATGTAGTAACTACTAATTGAAGAATTTTTCTCAATATAGGAAGCCTGGATGTACTTATTGTGATTTTATTCTTGACATTACTAAGCACATTTTTTTATTTTTTAAATAAAAATACACCTATGAATGTGTCTTAAAAATAGATGTAGGGGCTGGGAATGTACTCAGTAGAAAAGTGCTTACCTAGCATACACAAGGCCCTTAATTTGATCCTCATAACTGTAAACAAATACTATATATATGTATATATATAGTATTAAAATTTGTATGTATATTTATATATACATATATAAATATGTATATCTTAAGTACATTAACATTCTAAATTAAGTATACTTATGAAATTTGGAATACTGAAATATAAGTAATTTATATTTTACTTGTATGGTCTAGGGAAATTTTTATTACAAGGAAGTACTTCCAATGAGGAAGACAATGCTGCTAATCTCTTGCCGATCCTGTTGGAGAGCATACTGAGTTCCCATTGTCCACACAGCTGGAGTCATCTGGCATCTTTCCATAAGAATGATAGACACCTTTTGACTATACAATGACAAGAATACCTTTTTGGGTTGAGGATACTTCAGTCATTGGCTTAGTACAGTTGTCCAAAGATGAGAAATTTAAACCAAGCATTGTTGGCTCACATCTGTAATCTTAGTTACTTGGGAGGCTGAGATTGGGAGAACTGCAGTTCAGGGTCAGCCTGGACAAATAGTTCATGAGACCACATCTCCAAAATAACCAGAGCAAAATGGACTGAAGGTGTGGCTCAAATTGTAGAGTGCCTGCTTTGCAAGTGAAAAACCTTGATTCTCACCAAAAGAAAAAAAAAAAAGAAATTTGAAATTTACTCTTCACTTGAGTTGTTTTTCACCTCAAAGATCTACAATAAAACAGAAAACTTTTAGATGGGGATGAGAATTGTCATCGAAAAGTGTCTTCTAGACCAGTGGAACAGAATTGAGGACCCAGATATGAATCACACAACTATGCCCAGCTTATTTTTGACAAAGGTGCTAAACATATACAATGGAGAAAAGACAGCCTAAATGTTGGGAAAAGTGGTTCTCCCAAAAAACTGAAACTAGATTCATGTTTATCATGCTGTACTAGTATCAGCTCAAAATGGATCAAGGACCTTAATATCAGACCCAAAACTCTAAAGTTGGTACAGGAAAGAGCAGGAAACACCCTGGAAGTAATAGGTATAGGCAAGGACTTCCTCAATAGAACCCAGTAGCTCAGCAACTAAAAGAAAGTATGGACAAATGGGACTTCATAAAACTAAAATGCTTCTGCACAACAAAAGAAATGGTCTCTGAACTGAAGAGACCACCCACAGAGTGGGAGAAAATATTTGTCAGCTACACATCAGACAAAGGACTGATAACAAGAATATACAGTGAACTCAAAAAACTGAACTCTCCCAAAATCAATGAACCAATAAAGAAATGGGCAACTGAACTAAACAGAATTTTTTCAAAAGAAGAATTCAAATGGCTAAGAAACACATGAAAAAACACCATTTCTAGCCATAAAGGAAATGCAAATCAAAACCACACTAAGATTCCACCTCAGCCCTGTTAGAATAGCCATCATTAAAAACACCACTAACAACAGGTGTTAGTGAGGATGTGGGGAAAAGAGCCCTCCTACACTGCTGGTGGGAATGCTAGCTTGTGCAACCACTCTGGAAAAAAACTTAGAGGCTTCTTAAAAATCTAAACATAGATCTGTCATATGATCCAGCAGTCCCACTCCTAGGGATATACCCAAAGGAATGTGACATAGGTCACTCCAGAGGCACTTGTACATCCATGTTTATGCAGCACTATCCAAAATAGCCAAGTTAGGGAAACAGCCAAGATGTCCCACTACTAATGAATGGATTAAGACAATGTGGTATTTGTACACAATAGAATTTTACTCAGCCATGAAGAAGAATGAAATCTTATTCACAAATAAATGGATGGAACTGGAGAACATCATTCTAAGCAAGGTTAGCCAGGCTCAGAAAACCAAAAATCATATATTCTCTCTCATATGCGGACTTTAGATCTGAGCAAATACAGCAATGTAGTCGAGCTTGGGTCACATGATAAGGGGAGAGCACACACAGGAGGTAGGGGGATAGGTAAGAAACCCAAAACATGATAGTATTTGATATCCCTACTGAAGAGGAAATAATACAGAAACCTTAAAGTCTCAGAGGTCAATAGGAGAATGGGATAAGGAACTAGTGATCTAGTTAGAGATGAATCAACTTGAATGCATTTGTACATGGAAGCAATGCTAGAAATCTCTGTATAGCTATCCTTAGCTAGCAAAAATGTTTTGTCTTTCTTATTATTGCTTATACTTTCTCTTCAACAAAATTAGAGATAAGGGCAGAACAGATTCTGCCTGGAATTGGGGGGGGTGGGTGAGGAGGAGAGGGAGGGGGCAGTGGGGTAGGGGGGAGAAATGGCCCAAACAATATATGCACATATGAATAAATGAATAAAAAAAAATGGCAAACTGAATCCAACAACATACCAGAAAGATAATTCACCACGACCAAGTCAGCTTCATCCCAGGGATGCAGCGGTGGTTCAACATACACAAATCTATAAATGTAATGCAGCACATTAATAGAAGCAAAGACAAAAACCACTTGATCATCTTAATAGATGTAGAGAAAGCCTTTAATAAGATCCAACACCACTTCATGATAAAAGCTTTAAGAAAACTAGGAATAGAAGGAACATACCTCAACATTGTAATGTCTATATATGACAAACCTATAGTCAACATCATACTTAATGGAGAAAAACTGAAACTATTACCCCTAAAATCAGTAATGAGATGGGTGCCCTCCATCCCCACTTCTACTCAACATAGAACTGGAATTCTAGCAAGAGCAATTAGGCAAGAAGAAGAAATAAAAGGAATACAAATAGGTAAAGAAACTATCAAAATATCCCTATTTGCAAATGACATGATCCTATATCTTAAAGACCCAAAAAAAGTCCTAGACACCATAAACAGATACAGCAAGGTGGCAGGATACAAAATCAACTTACAAAAATCATTAGCTTTTCTATATACCAATAACCAACAAACTGAGAAAGAATATAAGGAAACAATTCCATTTACAATAGCCTCAAAAAATATCAAATACCTAGGAGTAAACGGAACAAAGAATGTGAATGAGTTCTACAAGGAGAACTACAAACCCCTGAAGAAAGAGATCGAGGAAGACTACAGAAGGTGGAGAGATCTCCCGTGCTCATGGACTGGTAGAATCAACATAGTAAAAATGCCTATACTACCAAAAGCAATCTACATGTTTAATGCAATTCCCTTCAAAATCCCAATGACATTCATCACAGAGACTAAAAAATCTACCTTAAAGTTCATTTGGAAACACAAGAG